ATGTCGTGATCGCCATAGATTCTATATAGATGTTCGATGTGTTTAGCACAGAGATTTACAAGGCTCGCATGCAGTTGCGCGTGTCCCGTGAGAAGTCATCGTGTGCTACAGGGCACTTCGACGGACTCGGCTCTGTCACTTCCAGGAGTCTCTGCCGGCTTTCGTGGCCATGATCACCATGCCCTTCACGTTCAGCATCGGCTACGGCATCATCGCCGGCTTGGGCCTCTGGATCTCCATCCAGCTCTTGCTTGCACCCCTGAGGCTCTACCGTGGTGAGAGCCCCATGGTGCGAGTTCACAAGCTTTGGGGCTCTGCCTTCGTGGAGGGCGACGAGGAGGAGAAGGGCAGCGGCAAGGGCACTCCCAGCACCATCACCCCCAGCCAGTCCTTCGGCGAGGTCTGAGCAAACATCCTACGAGGCATCATCACTGTCGACGGCATTCCACGCATGTATAGGCGCTTCGATGCGTTGCTTGTGCCTCTTGTACAGGGTGTCGCATGGCCTACGGAGGCCGTGTGACACCAGCCAGCCTGTGGAGCGGGCAACTGAAATTCGGCTTTGCTCCGACCGGAGAGGAATTCTGGCATTTCTTCTCATCATTACAATGAATTTGAAAGATAAAATCACTCAGGTTCCAAGCCTGTTCTTGGTGCTCGAGGGATACTGCTTAGGGTTAGCTTCCTGCGATGTCGGCAACTGGACGGTAAGCAGCACCGCCCGCAGCGTGCAAAAGGCAGGCGGCAGGTGTGTGCGACAAAGCGCCGTCTGGCTGCAGCCGCAGATTCACACATCTTTGTGACTGCGACTGCTCGGCCGAAATCAGTGGCACTCTTGTTGTAACATGTCTTGCACACTTCATTGCTTTGGGGGGTCCTTTGCTTCAGCAGACGTGAGTTTTAAGGCGGTATTCTTTGAGGGCTTGTTGAAGTCTCTCTGGGCTCGGCGTGCATCCAGAGGTCAGGGCCCCACGGCCAGCTAGGTAGCTGCAGGCGGAGGATTTTAATTCTAGAACGCGTCTTGACGCTTGCTTGGGAGTCGAGAAAGTTTACTGATCGCCGTTTTGGGGTTGTGGCTGAAGAGCAAGAGTTGAAACATTCCTGCTCGCCCACCCACTACTCGAAGTGCCATGTTCTCTCGCCTGTTCTTCAATGCGGCCGTGCTTGCAGCGCTGGCGGCCGCAGCGCCCGGCCTCCGAGGTCTCACGAACACGAGCAACGCGACTGTGACACAGCGCTCCGCAAATGGCTGCGACTGCTCCTGGATTGCCAACGATGACTGCATCAACCAGGACCCCTGCGCAGTCTCCTGCCGCCAGTCGCACGGGTCGCCTTGCTCCGTTGGGGCCGCCGGTGGTGCTCAAAGCGGTGGCGCTCAAAGCGGTGGTGCCCAAAGCGCTGCAGCATGCCAGGCAACTTGTGATTCCAGCTTCGGCAGTTGCAACCGCTGGTGCCACATTCCACCTGGTGGAGGACCATACTACACAGATGCAGAGGAGCAAGCTTTGAAGGGCGAAATCATGCAGTGTGAGGGCAGATGCACCGTGACGCGGGGCACGTGCTACCAGAGCTGCTAGCTGCGACCTGATCGACTTGCCTTCGAGGTGGGAGAGTTTTGTTAGGGGTCCTCACAAGCAGACTGTAAAGCTGAAAGACTCGATCCCTGAAATTGCGCCATTTTAATTTTGGTCGCAAGAAGTTCCAAGAAGTGCCATCAACAGCATGGTACCTCTTAAGTGAGAGCTTGATGCCGTGAGAAAAGCACGGACTCGACTCGAAGCCATATCAGACTCCGGCTCGAGTATTTTTGAGGCTTCGGAGCCCTATCCCCCAAATCCGAAACCTAACAACCACCCAAAGCCTTGTAAAGCCCTATATATACAAAGCCTTGTAAAGCCCTATATATACCCCCTAAAGTCCTAAAGCCCTAATAAGACCCTTAAACCTGCAAAATCCCTAAAGGCCTCGAACCCCTAAGCCCCAAAAGGATCCCCCAACAAAGAACACACAGGTCGTTCTGCTGGACTGGCCCCGGGATGCCACGGAGTACCTACGCCGGGCCAGGGTCCTCAGCAAAATGTAGAATATAGGGGCCTTAATAATTAGACTAGGGTTTGGGGTATAGTACACTACAAATTAAAATAAGGAGGAGTTTTCGAAGGCTTCTTCTGATATCGGAATTCGACAGTTTTGGCTTTGGCGGCTTTGGACCTTCATCATTTACGGCCAGCAGCCCCAAACATCCCCCTACAGAACCCTTATCGCTGACCGCACCCCAACCCAACACCCAAGAACTAGACCCTATAAATCCAAAACCCTTCAACCCTAAACCCTATAAAAACCCTGTAAACCCTCTAAACCCTCTAAACCCAAAACCCTACAAGCCCTATATAAAAATCCTTTAAAACCCTATAAACCCCAACCCCGCCCTCCGCCCTTCGGGGTTCGGGCCGAGGTTGGGAGGACGGCGCGCGCGGACAAGGGCGGAAGCGTGGGGGAGCCCGGGCTCTTTTCGCACGCTTTAGAAATGGGGGTTCCAGGTTTTGTTATGTGGACTGTCAAGGATTTTTTTGGGGGGGGGGGGGGGNNGAGAGGAGTTTCCGAAAAGAAGGGGGTAACCGTATGTTGGGGGTCTATAATAAGGATCCCTGCTATCTAGGGTCCTAGATTAGGGTCCTCTCTTTTCGGAAAGCATCCCCATAGAAGAAAGGGTTACCAAACCCTACAAGGGTTGCAGTCAAAAGGTTGCCATGTATAAGGATTACTTCAAAGGGGCTCTAACCGTTAGGCTTAACTTTTCGTGGCAGGAGCCTTCGGGTTTAGGAGTGGGAGTCGTATGGTCTGAGGCAGGGTCTAGAGGAAGTAGAGTCTATGGGTCTATGGGTTCTGTCTGCGGATGGTAGCAGATGTTTCTGATTCTGACTGGTACCCGCATGGTATAACTCTCAATTCGTCCTCAGGTGTTGACGCTGCTTTGTGGGCCCAAAGAGGCCCGAATGGGGTCGGGCCCTCGTTCGAAACCGAGGGCCAGGGACGGCCACAAACTCGGAATGTCAACTCCAAGTAAGTTTCCCAGGAAGCAGATCACCGCCGCTGCGATTCGATGCCCGTGGCTCGGGAGAGCAGCAAGTCTCGACGCCGGCCAGGGTTTCAGAGTTTGGCCAGGCTTGCCGCTTTAGGTGGGCATCGTAAGACTTTACTGTAAGCTCCATAGGGTCTGGGTTTTAGGGTGAGATTTCAGCCCACAACGCTATGGGGAAACTTCGCATAGCAGGCCCAGCCGTCTAATGGAACGTCAGTGCCCCCTGCTTTTGTAAGTTTGCCAAAACATCCAACTGAAGTATTTGCAACATCGTATCTCCTAGAAAAAGTCGTTGTGGGAAGCACCTAGGGTGCTGTACGCTTTTTGTGATTCTGCCGGGGCAGTGAAATAATTTGGAAAGTCGTTATGTCCGTGTTTGCTAGGCCAGAATAGCAGTTGAGAATGAAGGGGAGCCGCTGCCAAGCTGCAACTCCCAACCTCTCAGCAGAACATCCGCTATCCTCGCTCGCCCTAAACCCTATAAACCCTAAACCCTAAAAACCCGAAACCCTAAACCCTGTCCCCCCCGCCAAGGTCAGAAGCTTACAACGAAGGGCGCTGATTTCGAGGAGCGTGTTTTGGGGACCTTGGGTCCCGGGGGCCTTCTAAGGCCCTAAGGCCGGAAAACCGGAGCCTGAAACCCCTAAAGCCCTAATCACTAATCGAGGGGCCTTCATAATTACCGATATGGTTCCTTATTGCAGCTACAGTATTCTATACCCCAAGACCCCATTCTGATTCTTCAGGCCCCTACGTATATTATTATGCAAAATTGAAGCCCAATCCGATGGCTCCCGAAAAGGGATCTCCGCCAGGAGCGTGTGCGGTGCCTGGAACGCTTGGGGGCCCGGCTGGGGGGAGGGTTCCTGTTTGTTAGGCCTCACTTGTTATGGATTTTCCGGGACCTTCCTTAATTATTTGCGGGTGGTGTTGGGCTCTCTGGGTGCTTATCCAAAGTTTACGCCGCACGAGAACTTGGGGTCGTGCGTGGGTGAGCTCGGATTGGGGTGCGGGGCTTTGGAAGTTCGGCCATTCAGCGATGCCCGAGGTTCTCGTTGTCATCTGATGTGGTGGTGCGCGTTCCTTGTTTTGTTTTAAGGGAGGGTGTGTGTGTGTGTGTGTTTATTTGTGTTTGTGTTTGTGTTTGTGTTTGTGTTAGAGTGAGTGAGTGAGTGAGTGAGTGAGTGAGTGAGTGAGTGAGTGAGTGTGTGTGTGTGTAAGTGTAAGTGTTTTTGTGGTCGTGTTTGTTTGTGATCGCACAGGATGGTCTGAACCGCGTCATGTTCAGGCATCGCCATACAACAGGAGTTTCTGTTTAGGCAGAGGCTGGCATAAGTAAAATCAGAAGTAATCTCCGCATGCTGCATGCTATTAGACAGTACCCGGACATTCGCCAGAGCATCCACATGGTAGGTTCCCTTTTGGGCTACTGGGATCGTTTTACTTAGGAGAAAATGTGTTCCCGACGGCCCCTCTTCAAACGGATCTGTAGAGCAGCTCGCAAGTGTTCGTTTGGCTCTGGAGACGTTGCAATCTTTGCAAGGTTGTGCACAAGACAAGTGCAGTGCCTTTCATCAGCCATGTCAAGCGGTGAGGATGACATCGCCTTTTTGTCCTTGTGGGCACATGATGAGGTTCATGATGGTTCATGCATACCAGGACGAGGACATGGTTTGGTGCAGGTTGTGAAGAAAGCAAGGCAGCATGCATTGTTCGGTACAACTGTGAAACACAAGTTGCCGGATCCACCCACATTTGCACATCTAAGCGCCTGCCCCCCGCCGAAGCCTCCGAACCACTCTTTCGCTCAAGCCCAGGTTTTGACCCCACGTCGAAGGACTGCGGGCTGAGTCCAAAATATTGTGCACAGGATGCCCCAACTTAGACCAACTTTTTCGGCCTGTCTTGGGATTCAGCGTTTGGGGGTCAAGGATTTCGGACTCGGGGTGTGAGGCGGCTTGTCGATGTAGAGAACGAGCGGTATACAGAGAGGCGTCTGGGGAAGAAAGAGAGGTTGGAAAGGTTGACCTTCAGGAGTTTTTTGGAAGTTGGTTGGCCGAAGGTCTCAAGTCAAAAGCCAGTCTCTTCGACATCTTTTAACGCCGATTCGTGAAAAGCAGCCGAATCTCTAAACGGAGAAGCTGCACTGTGCTGTACTTCAAGCCGGAGAAATTTAGAGCGGAGCTCCGCCTGCGCATTGAAGCGAGACCATTTCTGTCCTAACCCCCAAACCCTCCACCTGCTGGACAGGACTGGAGGGCGAAGAGAGCCGCTGCACCGAAACCCGTGTGGAAGCCAGGGCCTCCTGCTTCGGGGTTTGGGAGGGCCTGTTCAGGGTTACAGTTTAGGGGTAATCCGCCAAGAGGGCCGGGATTCAAGGTTTGCAGCACTGCCGCATGTCCGGGTATAGTGTTGGCAGTCGTCATACTCTTTGTCATCGTCGCCGTGGCACCGGCAACCGAGGTAGCAACCGTTGTCGGTGACAGCAATGCGTGCGCATGTTTGTTTTAATTAGTCTGTTGCATCATCTTAGACCAGTTGGAACCACAAACTTCAACATCCGAACTTAAGCCTAAATCTTGCCGCATCCTTCAAACTTAGTTACACGTTCCAAAGTTCGCAGGCCTTCAGCCGTAAGAACTCGAGGTATAGACGACCTCCAACCCCAAAGCATCAAATCCCAAGATCCCCTGGTAGCCGTCAAGCCCTGAAGGACTTGACGGTCCGCAAACAGTGGAAAACTCCTGTATCCTGTCACCCTAAACTCCTAAACCCTATACCCTAAACCCAAACCCTAAACTCCTAAACCCTAAACCCCAAACCCTCAACTCCTGAACCCCCCCAAAGCCGGTGAACTCGAGTGTAGGCCCCTTGGCACAGTGATAGTCTCCCTGGTTCTTAGTAGGGAATGGTCCTAGCTAGTATTAGTATTAGGGAGACCCCTTAAAGGGGACCCTTCTTAACCCTACTTATGGCTCTCTTAACAGGGATCCTATTGAGAGGGTTTGAATCCCCAAGGGTCCCCCTAAGCCCTAATCCTAAATGGGGGAATGGCTCCCTATGATAGTCCCTTAAGGTCCCCTATAGTAGTCCCAAAAAACCCATTCTTCCATTCCCTAAACCCTAAACCCTAAAACCCTAAAACCCTAAACCCTAAACCCTAAACCTTAAACCATTCTTCCATTCCCTGCTAAGAACCAGTAGTTTCAGGCAGTCACCGGCAGACCCGGCGCTCCTGCAGCGCGAAGAGGAGGCTGCCGAGGAAGACCAGAGGGAGCCGACTCCCCAGAAAAGCGAGGATTTCAGGGTTCAGGCGTTTAGGGTTTAGGGGTTTAGGGTTTAGGGTTTAGGGGTTTAGGGTTTAGGGTTGAGGAGCTCTTGGTTGGTTTCTCGTCAGCCTACTTTTCTTACCGAAGGAGTCTAGGGATTCAGACGGGCAGCCCTGGGGTGTGGCATGGTTTTCGTGAACCTCACAGCGTAATTATGCGTAATTCA